TGCTGTGTCCAACCTGAGCCTCCCCTGGAGCAGTTTGAGGACAGACAAACAAATGACACAACAATTTGGAATATTTTCTGTTGTTGTGGTTTCATTTCCTTTAATAAATCCCGGTTTTCTGCAGGATTTTAAGCTTTATTTTTCTTTGCCAGGAATTCCCTGCAGTCCTTGCCTTCCTTTACTTTTTCACTTCCCTTCTCTTCCAAGACTCAGGGAACACACAAATCCCCCGAGGTGTTTCTCCAAAGAAAACCCTCTCCCAGCATTATTTTGATGCTTTTTGACAGTTCTACCATTCTCAGCATAAATATTTAGACCCCAAAGCAGCAGCCAGGAAGGAAGTTTGCTCTCCCAGCAAAAGGGGCATTTCCATTAAAAGAACAACAAAAAATATTTGGAGTTTCTCAGCCACTCCAGTCTTGGGCTGAACCGTGCAGTAAATGCAAATTCCTGGAGTTCTCCAATCTGCTGCCGGTGCTTTTCCAGCTTTCCCTGGGCAGGGAAACACCCCAGAGTTTTTCCTACAGCTGCATGAACCCCAGGCCAGAGTCCTCAGAACTCCCGGCTCTCCTCTGGCAGCACCCAGTAATATTTCATATTATCTTCTGATTTTTCACACCTGGTGGGCACCACGCCAGTGCTCCAAAGCCTTTCCCAGCTGGAAATGTGTCCCGGTGTAATTCAGGGCACATCAGCACCTGAAAGTGAACTTGAGTGAAGTGAGAGCATCGCTTGGAGCCGTAACAGCTTTCGGCAATTAACTTCAATGAACTGCTCCTCAAACCTTTAGAGTCCTTTGTGAACATTTTTATTGTGGCTCCCTTCAAACCCGGCCCGCGTGTGACAATGACAGAGTCCTGGGATCACCTGAAGCTCCCTCGCTCCATCCCCTGCCGGGGAATTTGGGATTTCTGCTGCGTTTTTATCCCCAGGGAAGGGCACTGCCACCCTGCTGGGAGGGATTGGAAGGGTTTGGAAGAGACTGGAAGGAGCTGCCAGGAGTTGGAAGGGGCTGGAATGGACTTGCAGGGACTGGAAGTGGAGTGGCAGGGGCTGGAAGAGTCTGGAAGGGGTTGGAAGGAACTGTCACGAGTTAGAATAGGCTGAAGAGGCTGGAAGGAATTGGAAGAGGCTGGAAAGGATTGGAAAGAGTTGGAAGGGGATGGAAGAGTTTGAGAGGGGACTGGAATGGGCTGGAAAAGGGCTGGAAAGGATTGGAAGAGGCTGGAAGGGATTGGGAAGAGTTGGATGAGGCCGGAAGGAACTGTCAGGAGTTAGAATGGGCTGAAGAGGGTTGGAAGAGGCTGGAAGGGCTGGAAAGGTTTGGGAGAAGCTGGAAGGGACTGGAAAGAGTTGGAAGGGGCTGGCAGAAGTCGGCCGTGGCTGGCAGGGGCTGTCCCGGTCCCAGCTGTCCCGGGTGTCCCGAGGCTCGCAGCGAGCTGGTTTTACCGGTCCGGGGAGCCGAAATGCAAATATTTCCCGGCCCCGGAGCCGTGCCCGAGCGCGGTTCATTAGCTGCACGGTGCTAATTTGCTAAGCCCAGCACGGCGTGGCCCGGCTGTGCCAGCGGGGCAGGAGAAGAGCTGGAGCCGCTGGAATTCGCTCCTTTGGCTGAGCACGGGAGGCTCCTGAGCGCAGATAAGGGCGAGCCCCGGCCCGGCGTTATCACAGCCAGCCCCTTTCTGTCCTCGTCTGTCCTCTCCAGCCTCTTCCAGCCCCATTCTGTCCCTTGAAGCCCCTTCCAGCCTCTTCCAGCCAGCTCCAATCCCGTTTCCATCCATCCCCCCGTTTCCATCCATCCCCCCCGTTTCCATCCCCCCCTTCCAGCCCTTTCCAACCCCTGTGCACCCCAGCCCAGCCCGTCCCTTAGGCAGGGTTTCAGAACACACCAAAACCGAACTTTCATCCCCAAAAACGATCCGTTTAAAAATCCCCTCTAGCGGGGAGAAGGTGGAAATCCAGCTCCCTGCTCATCCCACATCCAGTCTGAAAGGCTGGGGGCTCCAGCCCACATGGAAAAACCCCAAGTGGCCAGCTGGAAGTTCCTGTATCCCTTCATATGAGCCAGGATTTTTGTCTGCATCACAAAAAAAAAAAAAAAAAAAGAAAAAAAAAGAAAACAAATACTTTGAGAAAAAGAAAATAAAAGTAGGGTGGTGCTTTGGTTTTGTTGTTGTTTTTTTCAGTGCAGCACAAGGAAATGTTTGGTGCCGCAGTGTCGGGGCTGGCAGGTCACAGGGATGGCCACGAGGGTCCTGCCTGTCCCCTGCCACGTCCTTGGTGGCAGCCAGGCGAGTCCCCACCCCAGGGCCGAGCCAGGCCGCCTTTATTGCCGGTGTAAATCAGGGAAGCTCCGCCGGCTTCCAGGAGCTCTGCAGATTTATGCCAGCAGCTGACCCGGCATCTCTATTTTCAAATCTAGGGCGGATTGAAATATGCCGCTTTTCAATAATATATTCAGGTTAACAGGGCCTTTCTATTTGAGCAATTAATCTTGCACGGAGCCAGCACCTCCGGGGACAACGTGCGGGGGTTGCTAAGAAGAGGAAAACAAACAGTGCTGTGTAAGCGAGCTCTGCGTGTCCCACGCTCCGCAGGGATGCAGCAGCCGGGGCTCCCAAATCCTGAGTGTCCCGAGCCCTGGGGTGGGCGAGGCTCCACTGCAGAGCAGCCTCAGCTCAGCCTGGGTCACTGTGGGGATGATCCAATGCAGAAATATCCAGGTGTAAATCCATGGGAGCTGGGGAAAGGCAGGGCTGTGCTGGAGGAACCTTCTCAGAGCATTCCCAGGGCTGTTCCCTGTGCTGGAGAAACCTTCCCAGAGCATACCCAGGGCTGTTCCCTGTGCTGGAGGGAGCCTTCCCAGAGCATACCCAGAGCTTTCCCCTGTTCCAGCACATGCCCAGGGCAGGAGGAACCCCAAGGGCATAACACATGTCCCTCGGGGTGGCTGTGCTTGGATTCGTTCCACAGGTAAATCCAGGCTGGCTCCAGCACTGGTGCTTCCCAAAAACTTCCCAAAGCCAGTCCTCCTGTTTCTGCCTCCCTGTCGTCATCTCCTGCCAAATTTCAGCTTCATCAGCACCCAATGATCACTGGCAGAGAGGCTCTTCCCAGCTCCAGGCCAGCCAGGTCTCCACAGCCTTGTGCCCAGGAGGGAATGGGAGCCTGCTGGGAGCTACCTGGGGCAAATCTCAGCCCATTTTTCTGTGCATCCCAGGTTTCCATGTGAATGAATCAGGAAGGAATTCCCTGGGAGGGTGGCAGGCCCTGGCACAGAGTACCCAGAGCAGCTGGGGCTGTCCCTGGATCCCTGGAAGTGTCCAAGGCCAGACTGGACAGAGCTTGGAGCAGCCTGGGATGGTGGAAGGTATCCCTGCCATGGCAGGGGTGGCACTGGGTGAGCCTTAAGGTCCCTTCCCACCCAAACCATTCCATGACTTCCTAATCCCTTTCTTTGCCCTAAAGCTCAGCAAAGACACAATTTTAGGCCTGGAGCTGCCCCTGTTATTTTTTCCCTCTTCCCTTTTTCTATTCCCCCATCACCAGCAGCATTCCCAGCATCACAGATTCACAGATCCTCGGGATTTGACCCTCAGCTTCTCATTCTTCCAGCACATTAAATTCCAGCCCAGGCTGGGCACACTCCTGCCAAGCCATGCAGTAACCCTGGGATTAGGCTCGTGCCCAGGGGAGAAACATCTCCAGCTGAAAATTGTCAAAATCCGTGTTTTTTTTGCTGGAGCTGCCGGGGGCTGGTGGAGGCAGCAGGGGCTGACTCCGATGGAAACCATTCGGGCGCTTTTAGGAGCTGCATCATTCCATGATACAAATTTCCAGTCACAAATAGCAACAGGCTCTGGGAGAAGATGCAGGTGGCTGGGGTGTGATTAACGAGCACTGAGCCTGTCACTGTGGAAGTGGGAATTCCACTGGACTGACCCACGGCAGGATTCGGGCCAGCTGGAATTCCGGCTTTTTCTTTTAACAGTGGGTTTTTTTTCCCCTTTCTTTCTCCTCCCATGAAAAAAAAAACACAAGATAATTCCCTTGGGAGTCCAGTAAAAGAGATTTTCCTGATTCCTGTTGCAGCAGCAAAATCCCAGCGTGTGAGGAGCCAGCCCTGCTCCTGCTTCCATGAAATCCAGGTAATGACCCAGAACTGCTGGGAATTAGTGTTTCATTTTGGCAGCCCTGGCAGACAGATCCCTAATGGAAATTGATTTCTGGCTTCTCCCTCTGCCCCTGGAGCGGCTCCGTTTTACCTGCAGGAGCCTTTTGGCCAAAGGGCTGCACAGGCGGCGCTGGGAAGCAGCTGGTTAATTACTGGGTGTTAATGAGCCCCTGGGGGCACGGGAGGGTAGGACAGGCCAGGAGTGTGGCGGGGGCACCCATGGGTGTGACAGGGACACACGAGTGTGACAGGGACATCCCTGAGTGTGACAGTTACACCCGTATGACAGTGACACCCCTGAGTGTGGCAGGGACACACGAGTGTGACAGGGACACCCCTGAGTGTGACAGGGACACCTCTGACTGCGGCAGGGACACTCATGTGACAGGGACACCCCTGAGTGTGGCAGGGACACCCATGGGTGTGACAGTGACACACGAGTGTGGCAGGGACACCCCGCAGCAGCAGCAGCAGCAGCGCCCGCCCGGTGCCCACACCAGGGCCAGGCTCTGGGATGTGCCCTCCCGTGGGGTAACCCGGCTGTGGATCCGGCTCCATCCCGGTGGGGACAGCCCCAAAGCCACCGTGACACTCTTGGGCCCCAGCACCCCAAATTCCCAGCGACTGTCCCAGGGCTGTACCATCCCAAATCCCCAGTGATCGTCCTAGGGCTGCCCCATCCCAAATTCGCAGTGATTATTCCCAGGCTCCACCATCCCAAATGCCCAGCGATTGTCCCGGGCTCCAGCACCCCAAACTCTCGGCGATGGTCCCCAGCGGGAGCTCCCGGTTTAATCTGATCCAGCCGCCCCGCACCGCCCAGTTTGGGGCTATTTGGGTAAAACCCGGCTGCACTCGGGGATCGCCGCTCCTGGATGTCCCAGCCCTTCCCTCGGCCAGACGGAGCGAGGTGCTGACCCAGGTAAGGCTTCGGCAGCTGCGAGGATATTCAAGCCTCCTTCACCTCTGCAAAGGAATTGGGGAAAATCCTCTTTTCCCACGTTCCGCTCCTGCGGTGTGTGGGAAGCAGAACTCGGCGGGGCTGGGTCACGGTTAAAGCAGAACGGAATTTGTCTCATTTTTCAGTCGTTTCCTGGCTCCTTGGGTGTTTGGAGAGTGCCAGCAATTGTCAGGTGAAGGAATTGTTGGTTCAGGTGGGCTCCGGGGTGTCCAGGTGTGACGGGAATTGGCTCCCACCGCATTCCCAAACACTTTGCGGTAACAATAATAACAATTAGCTGAGCGTGCAGCGGAGCGTTAATTGCGAACTGAAAGCCCAGGCAGAGCCTGCTCAGGTCAGTGCCATCCTCTATTCCCGGTTTCCCTGGGCAGTGCTCTGGGACGTTTCCCTGGCTCAGGGACTGCTCCGTACCCGCTCTGCTCTTCCTGAATTCCTAAATCCCAAACCTTCCCAGGTGCATTTTGTGCTGGAGCTGACAGCTCAGAGCTGCGCTCCTGGCGGCTCCTGCCTGCCGCTCCTGACGAATGTTAATCGGGATTTAATTCCTGGCTGGATCCAGAGGGAAGGGGAATTTCGGGAGGATGGAAGAGTGGCAGGTTTGGAGATCTGCAGGGGAAGACGCAGGACAGACGCTGAATTCTGGATGTGTCCTGGTGTTACCCTGCATTGTGTGGGAACATTTTTATTATTAAAGCAAATTTCCCTCTATTTTATACAAAAGGAGTCTGTGAACAAATTGAGAGCCTCCCCCTGTGCCTCAGCTCCCCTTTTGCACAGCCGAGTCCTCTCTGCCGTGGGTTCCTGGAGTGCTTCAAGCCACTGGAAGGATTTTTCTGTCATAGACATCTTTCAAAACAGAAATTAAAATAGAAATCCACGTTGAAAAATCATGGGGAAGTCTAAATGGAGTTTGAGTTTTTATGCCCAGAGCAGCAGAGGAGGGGCAGCAGCTCCAGGAGTGGGGATGGGGACAATCCTCACAATCCCCACTCCTGGATCCCCTCACAATCCTCCCACCTCGCAGGAATGTTGCAGGGAGCTGGGAAAGAGTGGGAAAATCAGAGGGGAAAACGTCCCGGGCAGGAGTAATCCTCATTTCAGAGAGGGACAGGGAGGGCTGAACACATTAAATCCATTCCATCTGCCTTAGGGGCTGAAGTGGAACGTGGAATCAGAGGATGGAAGTAGGTAAAAAAACCATTCCTTTAAAAGTGATGCTGTGATTTTGTTTTTGAGCAGGAAAAAAGCAATTTCAAGCCCCTGAGGGAGGATGTGGGCTTACACCGTGGGCTTCACCGTCCTGCCCCACGTTGGAGGATTCCTTGGCTGGTTCCTCAACCGGAAGGAAATCCCGGAGTGGTACGAGAAGCTGAAGAAACCCTCGTGGTGCCCACCCCGCAAAATGTTCCCTGTGGCCTGGACCATGCTGTACACGGGCATGGGGTGAGTGCTGGCACCGCTGCCTCCTGTCCTGCTGGTCCTGCCAGCTCTGCCCTGCCCTTTGGGGTCTCCTGAACCAGCCTGGGGTCAGGACCAGCCGGGACAGGGGGCAGGAGCCTCCCAGGTGTGGGACAGGGAAGCTCTGGGAGGAGCTAGGGACACAGAGGTGTGGAATGGAATCCAATGGGATAGCCCGAGCTGGAAAGGGATCATCCACTGCAGCTCCTGGCCCTGCACAGACACCCCAAAACCCCACCCTGTGCATCCCTGGCTCGGTGTCCAAGTGCTCCTGGAGCACTGGGAGCCTCAGGGAGGATTTCCCGAGGATCTCCCCGTTCCCTGGGGAGCCTGGGCAGTGCCCAGCACTCTCGGGGTGGGGGAGGGAAGAATTTTCCCTGCTACCCAACCCTCCCCAGAACCCTTCCTTTGGCCCTGGCCCTGCTCCCAGAGAGCCTGATGTGGATCCTGCTGCGGTGCAAATCCCTGGTGGGGAAAACGCTCCTGCAGGAGACCCCCTGTCCCTCCTCACAGCTACGCCTCCTACCTGGTGTGGAACGACCTGGGTGGCTGCGGCAGCAAGGCCATCGTCCCCATGGGGCTCTACGGGGCTCAGCTGGCGCTCAACTGGGCCTGGCCCCCCCTGTTCTTCGGTGCCCACAACCTCAACATGGTAATGGGGCTTTGGGGGGCTTTGGGGTTGTGCCGGGGGGGATTACGCGGCTCTCCAAGGAGTTTGAGCCCAGCTCCAGCCACACACGATGGTATCGGCCCCTCCAGGCTCGCTCCGATAGCCGGGGCGGGGGATCCGGGGCTGGGCAGTGCCAGGGCTGCACCCCCCAGTTAAGGGCCGGGGCTGGGAGATAAAGTCCTTTGTGGGGACACACCCTCAGTGACAACAGCACTGTCACATCCCTGACGGCGAGCAGCTCCCGGGGGCTTATCGGGCACAGCCACACCCGGGCTGCGCCGCCGGGCCTCAGGTGCCAGCGGCACGGACGGGGATTGGCGTTTCTACCTGAATTTTGTCACTCTGGGGGTGGAAAGCGTCACCCGAAAGTGCAGCAGGTTCTGTGCCGCACAGGGGACGTTGCCACGAGCAGGGTGTTGATCCGCGGGATTCCTTAATGAGCGCATTAATTAGAGTGACACTCTCGGGTGTCGCTGATGGGGAGCGCAGGTACCGCATCCCACGGGCTGGCATCGCCATCCCGCCCATCCCCAGCTGCACCGAGACCTTTGGGCAGCGCAGGGCTGCCAAATTCTGCAATTGTCAGGGAACTGAGCGAGTTGTCCCCGCCGCAGGCGCTGGTGGATGTGCTGTGCCTGGACGGGCTGGCCATCGGCACGATGTGCTCCTGGTACCGCATCAACAGGCTGGCGGCAGCGCTGCTGCTGCCCTACCTGGCCTGGCTGGCCATGGCCACCTGCCTCACCATCCGCGTCTGGAAGGACAACCCCCAGCAGAAAAACGACTAAACCGAGGTGTTTTGTGTGGTTAAACCGTCCTGAGGTGAACCGAGGTGTAATAATTTGTTGGGGGTTCATTTTGGGGTTTGCCTCCTCCTCTTCTTCCATCGTGAGAGGTTTGAACCATTCACTGCTTTAAATAAGGTTTTTTCCAGTAGGTTTGGGAGATGTTCCAGCTGTTTCCAGGTCTTATTGCCACCACGTCAAATTGCAAATGATCTGGAATAATTCAGGCTGGGAACCCCGGGCACCATCCCCCCGAGAGCAGAGCTCGGTCACACACGTGGCACATCCCATCTCCTCTGCTGGGACCAAAATGATCTTCACCTCTGCACAAGTATTTTTTAAGACCTTGATTTTTATTTTTTTTTTAAATAAATTGATATATTTTTAAGAAATTACTTGATTTTTTAAAGAAATTACTTGGGCTTTTTTAGAAAAAAAGAAATTACTTGATTTTTTAAAAGAAACTACTTCATTGTTTAAAGAAATTGTTTGATTTCATAAAAAGAAATTATTTTTTAACAATCATTTTTTTAAGAAGAAGATTTTTTAATTACTTGATTTTTTAAAAAATTACTCGATTTTTTTTAATTCCTCGATTTTTTAAAAAGAAATTTCTCCATTTGTTTTGCTCTTTGTGCTGTTGCTTCATGTTCCTGTAAGCCTTGTTTTGTGCTTTAGCTCTTTATCTGCCAGCAGGGATGGGTCTTGCTCTGCTGGTGGATGGAGATTGGGCTGTGCCTCCTGTCTGGGGAGCATCCCCCTCCCTGCCCTCCCTGCTCCCGGATAAAGCAGCAATGAGCAGCGGGCAAATGCTTCTCCCAAGAGGAAATTCCTCTCTCCCACCTCTGTGTGCCATTCCTCAGCAGAACTGAAAACTCATGCCAGTGCCTTTGAAGAAAACCTTCATTTTGTTATTTTTTTTCAAGTACAGAGACTCCAGAGTATGTAGAATTTGTGAGCCTGCTCCCACTGCCTGGAAGGTTGTAATTAATTATATAATTGGCAAAAAGCCCCGCACAGAATCTGTCAGTGCAGTGCAGGCGCCTGATCCTGCAGCTTCTCCATGCCATTATTAACCAGGAAAGGTTAAAATAGTGATAATTCCAAAGGAATGGGATGGAATCAGACACAGGGGGTCTTGTCTATCCCTTTACATAGAAACCTTTGAGCTCTGGTGTCTCCAGACAGAATTTACATTATTTTTAATTGTTAAAAGCACTAAGTGTAAAGAGAAAGGGCACGTGGATCTTTATCCTGGCACTGGCTGGAATTGGGGCTGTAATTAATTAGGGTTGTAATTGGGGGTGGGAGGGCTCAGCTGGGGTTGTAACATAAATTGTATTTGCTTTGAATAAAACAAGCTGTTGAATTTTTTTGGAGAATAAATAAATAAATCTGAGTTATTGTTGCTGTACTGGTTTGGGGTGAGGTTCCCAAAAAGCTCAAGGGATCAAGGGAAGGGATTTGGGAAGGCTGCAAAGGTGGATTCAGGTTGAGAGTGCATGGCCCAGATGGGTTTGGACCCCAAAAGGTCCCTGAGGTCCCTCCTTGGGGACACCCCTGTGCCAGGCTCCTCTGTCCCCCCACCCCAGCTCCAAGGTGAGCAGGACAATTCCTGGCTCTGGGATCACCCAGCTGCATTTTGGGAGATGCTGAGTGTTCCTGGATCCACCAGGACAGAGCTGGGGGCTCAGCACAACTGAGAAACGAACCCTGGCAGCAGCTGGAATTTGCAGCTCCTTGTAAAATTTAGTGATTTTGTCATTTTGATCCATTATTTTTCCCCCCTGGCTCAGGACTTCTTTCCCCAGGGCTGCTGCCAGCCCAGGGCTGAGCTGTCCCAAGGAAAACTGCAGGAAAAGACCATGGAGCAGCTGAGGTTGGGAGCAGGAGCAGCCCCAAAGCCCTGCCAGCAGCACTGGCGACACCAAAAGCTGCTGGAAGAAAAAAAGAAATAAAAAAAAGAAATCCTGTAACACTTCAGGGCTTTATTTTCTGTGGTACCACCACACTTATTTACAGCCTCTGTGTCTCCCAGGATCTCCCTCATGCCAAAGGATGGGCAAATGTAAATTATTTCTCCCTCAGATGAAGGTGGGGTCTGGCTGATTTGGGGGAGTTCAGGCTGATTTTGGCTCTACCCATCCTGTCCTGAGGGAACAGGGATGAGCAGAGCCATCCAGAGAGGCCAGGAGGGATTAAAGGAGCCTTTATCTCCTTTTGGAAAGGGGACAGAATTATTTAAATCATATTTAAATTGGTGGCTCTCTAGATCTGGCTCATACCTGCAACTCTTTAATAACATTTCCAATTAAATAGATGAATGCATATTTGATCAGCTTTCATAAATTGGGTCTATTTCCTCTTCCCACTTTTTTTCTGCAGGCAACAGAAAATCTGAAATTAAGATGAATAGATTTTTTTTCCGTGTTTGTCCTCCCATTTTCCCAGCTGTTGGGACTGGCTGCCTTGTTCTTGTTTTCCTTCCAGTTTCTCCTCCTCCCTGCCCACCTGTAAGTGCAGAAGGAGCTTTTCTTTGCCTCTTGCCTCTTCTCACAGGCAGCAAAAATAGCAAATATTCCTCCCTGTGCTATCCAGAGCAGCTTGAAATCAACTGGGAAAATTAAATTCAGTGAGACACCCTCCTGTATTAATATTTAAAGCATCGTTTGGTGCATTTGCTGTTTAAACAGATACACTGAACCCCCTTGCATAAAAATAACTTTAATGACATTTCAAAGTCATCTGAAGGGTTTCTTTCCCAGACTGTGCAGCACAGCCCCAAGCCAGCCTTGGTTTTACAGAATCCTGGAATTCTGGGACGGTTTGGGATGGAAGGGAACGGAAGGATGATCCCATCCCACCCCTAGCCAAGGGCAGGGACATCTCCCACTGTCCCAGGTCGGTCCAAGCCCCGTCCAGGCTCGTGTTAGTCCAGCCCCAACCCCAGATTTGCCTTTGGAACGGGCACTGTCCCCCTGCAGGGATGTGTCCTTGTCCCTGTGACTCCTGAGGGGCTCTCGATGGCTCCCAAGGGCTCTCAGAGCCCAGAGCCACCTCTCTGGGGAAGCCACTCACTCCCAGCTCAGCCACTCTCTCCAGGAGATGGAAGAAATTCCCATTAAACAATTAATGGCCCAGCAGTCACTCCCTGGCTGCTGCAGCCTCAGGATTTGTGCACAACCAAACCTTTCCTCCTTTCCCCTTTCCTTTCCCCTTTCCTTTCCCCTTTCCTTTCCCCTTTCCTTTCCTCTTTCCTTTCC